TCTTCAATAAGATTGGAATAACATACGCCCTCTTTTCAATATGACTAGAATTATCAGACTCTCACTCTTCAATTTGGCTTAAACTCGGTTTAACTGAAATCAGATCTTCTAAGCAAACTCAATAAATCTCACGGTCAATAGAGTTATCAAATTGGAGATCCGTTGTTGGTGATGTTGCCTTTAAATTAAACGCAATCGCTCACTTAATGAGTGTAAAAACTTCCATACGTTGTTTTGATCCAGAATATAAAATAACACAACTGTGTACGCTTGAGGGAATGTTGTCAGCCTTTTCCCTGCAATATGGCTCCTGCCTTGGGCATGTCAAGTGATGGATCCTACCAGATTGACGCAGAAAGGCGTCATTCGGGTACTTTCATCCCCATCTCTAGTTTTTCACAGCGTGCTTCATCCAATAGGATCATATCTTGCCAAAACCGTTGGAAAATTACGATCATGTCCCTAAGCAGTAATTATTTCCAGTTCAACGAGTCGTTTTGTACAAGCGCGATTGGAGTAAATAAGCTGGCTGTTGCCCGTTTTTGCTTGTGCTTCTGGTGTATGAGAGCACATGGCCTCGTGTCTCCGTGCAGTCCAGTGGATGTATGAGAGCACATGGTCTCGTGTCTCCGTGCACTCCAGTGGATGTATGAGAGCACATGGTCTCGTGTCTCCGTGCTGTCCAGTGGATGTATGAAAGCACATGGTCTCATGTCTCCGTGCAGTCCAGTGGATGTATGAGAGCACATGGTCTCGTGTCTCCGTGCAGTCCAGTGGATGTATGAGAGCACATGGTCTCGTGTCTCCGTGCAGTCCCGTGGATGTATGAAAGCACATGGTCTCGTGTCTCCGTGCAGTCCAGTGGATGTATGAGAGCACATGGCCTCCTGTCTCCGTGCAGTCCAGTGGATGTATGAGAGCACATGGCCTCCTGTCTCCGTGCACTCCAGTGGATGTATGAGAGCACATGGTCTCGTGTCTCCGTGATGTCCCGTGGATGTATGAGAGCACATGGTCTCGTGTCTCCGTGCAGTCCAGTGGATGTATGAGAGCACATGGTCTCGTGTCTCCGTGCAGTCCAATGGATGTATGAGAGCACATGGTCTCCTGTCTCCGTGCAGTCCAGTGGATGTATGAGAGCACATGGTCTCATGTCTCCGTGCAGTCCAGTGGATGTATGAGAGCACATGGTCTCGTGTCTCCGTGCAGTCCAGTGGATGTATGAGAGCGCATGGTCTCGTGTCTTCTTGCAGTCCAGTGGATGTATGAGAGCACATGGTCTCGTGTTTCCGTGCAGTCCATTTGATGTAAGAGAACACATAATCTCGTGTCTCCGTGCAGTCCAGTGGATGTATGAGAGCGCATGGTCTCGTGTCTCCGTGCAGTCCAGTGGTGTATGAGAGCACATGGTCTCGTGTCTCCGTGCAGTCCAGTGGATGTATGAGAGCACATGGTCTCGTGTCTCCGTGCAGTCCAGTGGATGTAAGACAGCACATAGTCTCATGTCTCCGTGCAGTCCAGTGGATGAATGAGAGCACATGGCCTCCTGTCTCCGTGCAGGCCAGTGGATGTATGAGAGCACATGGTCTCGTGTCTCCGTGCTGTCCAGTGGATGTATGAGAGCACATGGTCTCGTGTCTCCGTGCAGTCCAGTGGATGTAAGAGAGCACATAGTCTCATGTCTCCGTGCAGTCCAGTGGATGAATGAGAGCACATGGCCTCCTGTCTCCGTGCAGGCCAGTGGATGTATGAGAGCACATGGTCTCGTGTCTCCGTGCTGTCCAGTGGATGTATGAGAGCACATGGTCTCGTGTCTCCGTGCAGTCCAGTGGATGTATGAGAGCACATGGTCTCATGTCTCCGTGCAGTCCAGTGGATGTATGAGAGCACATGACCTCGTGTCTCCGTGCTGTCCATTGGATGTATGAGAGCACATGGTCTCGTGTCTCCGTGCAGTCCAGTGGATGTATGAGAGCACATGATCTCGTGTCTCCGTGCAGTCCAGTGGATGTATGAGAGCACATGGTCTCATGTCTCCGTGCAGTCTATTGGATGTATGAGAGCACATGGTCTCATGTCTCCGTGCAGTCCAGTGGATGTATGAGAGCACATGGTCTCATGTCTCCGTGCAGTCCAGTGGATGTATGAGAGCACATGGTCTCATGTCTCCGTGCAGTCCAGTGGATGTATGAGAGCACATGGCCTCGTGTCTCCGTGCAGTCCAGTGGATGTATGAGAGCACATAGTCTCCTGTCTCCGTGCAGTCCAGCGGATGTATGAGAGCACATAGTCTCCTGTCTCCGTGCAGTCCAGTGGATGTATGAGAGCACATGGTCTCGTGTCTCCGTGCAGTCCAATGGATGTATGAGAGCACATGGTCTCATGTCTCCGTGCAGTCCAGTGGATGTATGAGAGCGCATGGTCTCGTGTCCCCGTGCAGTCTATTGGATGTATGAGAGCGCATGGTCTCGTGTCTCCGTGCACTCCAGTGGATGTATGAGAGCACATGGTCTCGTGTCTCCGTGCAGTCCAGTGAATGTATGAGAGCACATTGTCTCGTGTCTCCGTGCACTCCAGTGGATGTATGAGAGCACATGGTCTCGTGTCTCCGTGCTGTCCAGTGGATGTATGAGAGCACATGGTCTCGTGTCTCCGTGCAGTCCAATGGATGTATGAGAGCACATGGTCTCCTGTCTCCGTGCAGTCCAGTGGATGTATGAGAGCACATGGTCTCGTGTCTCCGTGCAGTCCAGTGGATGTATGAGAGCACATGGTCTCGTGTCTCCGTGCAGTCCAGTGGATGTATGAGAGCACATAGTCTCATGTCTCCGTGCAGTCCAGTGGATGTATGAGAGCACATGGTCTCGTGTCTCCGTGCACTCCAGTGGATGTATGAGAGCACATGGTCTCGTGTCTCCGTGCAGTCCAGTGGATGTATGAGAGCACATAGTCTCATGTCTCCGTGCAGTCCAGTGGATGTATGAGAGCACATAGTCTCATGTCTCCGTGCACTCCAGTGGATGTATGAGAGCACATAGTCTCGTGTCTCCGTGCACTCCAGTGGATGTATGAGAGCGCATGGTCTCGTGTCTCCGTGCAGTCCAGTGGATGTATGAGAGCACATGGTCTCGTGTCTCCGTGCACTCCAGTGGATGTATGAGAGCACATAGTCTCATGTCTCCGTGCAGTCCAGTGGATGTATGAGAGCGCATGGTCTCGTGTCTCCGTGCACTCCAGTGGATGTATGAGAGCGCATGGTCTCGTGTCTCCGTGCAGTCCAGTGGATGTATGAGAGCACATGGTCTCGTGTCTCCATTGTCTCCACGGGGATATTGTCATTTGTTCCGGTGTGGGTTCTGAGAACATGTTCTTCTTTAGACGGTTATTATACGTAAAAAATAAATATGTCTGCTGACGTTCTGTAATTTGAACTTTTCTGGACAGATGATTGAGATGCTGGTGTACCAACACAGCTCAGAGAAAGTGATTATACAAGTGCACGTCTTTGCGTAAATGAAGAATAGATCCGCCAGGCTCTTGTTGACCTTTAGCTGTTGTCTCAGTGTGAACACTGTCGAGATCTGGCGACCTTCGCATCTATAGATCTGGAGTGTCCTACCCTTGAAACCACAAGAAGGATCTGTAGAGTTCATGTTCTCCGTTGAGTACGTCTAATTCTTCCAGTTGTGCTTGAACTTTTCTGGCCTGCTGGGTTTATTGTTGACACAACATGCCGCACTTTTATTACATAACTTGGATACCCACTCAGACACAGTATACTGACACCAAGCCACCCAGTCCATGTTGTAGCCCCTTAATGCAGAGCGCCAGGCACGGTAGCAACAAGTAGCATCTCTTCACGTCCTTTGGTGTGACGCGGCCGGGGATCGAACCACTGAACGTTCTCCATTCGGACGCTCTATCGAGACGAGAAGAAATTAACCACTAGGCTACCCCCCCCCCCCCCCCCCCCCGCGCCCAAACCCCGGATAATGGAGGATGTAATATAACGAAACTACAAGTCTGTAAGAAGCAGCGTTAAATACAAATTCCTCACGCATAGCACGTGACTAAGCTATCATTGTAACAGGGTGGCCACACAATGGACGGTCAGATATCAGATTTGTACCAGGCCACTGCAACCTTTGACCTTTGCTCAGTCAATCCCATGCCTTCGGTTCACCGATATAGACGCGCGTGGTTATTACAGCGATTTAACTCAACTATAGTCTATACCTTGTCTATGCACGTTCGATAAAAGCATATTTTCAATATCAATTTTCAGTATTTGACGATTCGGGTTTTCTGTTCATGGGGTTGGGGTTCATCAGTTGCTCAAGATAAAAATTTAAATAAAATATTTACAAATTGTGTTGCATGAGAAATATTGCGCTGTACTACTGAATATAAAAGCGATAAACCATCACCATAAGGAGTATCTTGCAAAGCAGAGTCCGTTGAACGATACCGACTTATGATGGACATGTGTTTATGAATGACTATCATATAGCTATGAGGTGTTCGCCAAAGGTGTACGCCAAAGGTTGAACGTTCCCTGCCAAATCGGTATCACAGACACATGCAAATGCAAGTCAATTGTTTGCCTAAACAAAACACGGGAACATATGGGACGGGTCAATATAGGGTGAGGTGAGGTGAGGTGAGGTGAGGTGAGGTGAGGTGAGGTGAGTTGAGGTGAGGTGGTAAAATCGAGTTTAACGTCGCGTCCAAGATTATTCAATAATATATAACGACGTGCATGCACGTGTGTGTCACTAGATCGGACTGATTCCGGTTAATAGTGCTAGTACACTAAGATACCATAACACAGGTTAACATGAATACCCCACTCAGACACAGTGTACTGACTCCGAGCCGACCAGTCCTTGTTTTAGCCCCTTAATGCCGAGCGCCATTTTGAAATTTCCTACACGTGTCCCATTGATCACCCAACGTCCGTGTCACCCAATGTCCGTGTCACCCAATGTCCGTGTCACCCAATGTCCGTGTCACCCAATGTCCGTGTCACCCAATGTCCGCGTCACCCAATGTCCGCGTCACCCAATGTCCGCGTCACCAAATGTCCGTGTCACCCAATGTCCGTGTCACCAAATGTCCGTGTCACCCAACACCCAATGTCCGTGTCACCCAATGTCCGTATCACCCAATGTCCGTGTCACCCAATGTCCGTGTCACCCAATGTCCGTGTCACCCAATGTCCGTATCACCCAATGTCCGTATCACCCAATGTCCGTGTCACCCAATGTCCGTATCACCCAATGTCCGTATCACCCAATGTCCGTATCACCCAATGTCCGTGTCGACCAATGTCCGTGTCACCCAATGTCCGTGTCACCCAATGTCCGTGTCACCCAATGTCCGTGTCACCAAATGTCCGTGTCACCCAATGTCCGTGTCACCCAATGTCCGTATCACCCAATGTCCGTGTCACCCAATGTCCGTGTCACCCAATGTCCGTGTCACCCAATGTCCGTATCACCCAATGTCCGTATCACCCAATGTCCGTGTCACCCAATGTCCGTATCACCCAATGTCCGTGTCACCCAATGTCCGTGTCACCCAATGTCCGTGTCACCCAATGTCCGTATCACCCAATGTCCGTATCACCCAATGTCCGTATCACCCAATGTCCGTGTCACCCAATGTCCGTAACACCCAATGTCCGTGTCACCAAATGTCCGTGTCACCAAATGCCCCAATGAGGCCTTGAATGTTGTCACCCTGATCAAACTACTGCTGATCAAGAGTCAGATCACGCATTTTGAAATCTTCGTAGAAAGAACATGTACTTCAAAAGTTGTGACACGTAGACACCAAAGGCTGGAGCTGCTGGAATATTGCTCGACATAAAGGGAAAGTTGACTATTGGAACTCTTGTCATATAGTCTTGTGGGGAGATTTTGTAACACCCCAATGATTACTGATCAAAATACTGCGTTGTAACGAGACACTGTCATCTACCAAGTGGCACTGTATAGTGAGGATGCTGGTGGCGACACCTGGCGGTTCACAGGCGACACCAGATGAAGGTGTATGCGATGAATTATAGAACGTATGGGTCGTGTCGCATGTGACAAAATATCCACGAATCAGGTCACAAACCTCGTGCGGACACTGACGAAGCACTGAGTGACCTGTCTTCTTGGATATGATACCTGTTTATTCAGTAACATGAGCCACCGCAGTATTCATCCTGTTTATATTTGTCTACTCTTCTACTCGTTCGCTCTAACTCCCTCACTCACCCAAGTATTAGACACGTGTGTTCAAGAGACGTCATGCTCGTGCAAGAATTCCAAGGGGACGATCGATCTTACCCCCCTTGCCAACACAGCCGGGTCCGCCAGGTGAGTTTTCAACATCCTTAGGTACATTCGACCGCCTGGTCTAGTGGTAGAGCGTCCGCCTTGAGGGAGGGAGGTCGGGGTTCGATCCCCTGTCGCGTCATAATAAAAGACGTTAAAAGATGGTACTTGTTATTACCCTGTCTGACGCTCGGCATTACGGAGCTAAAACAAGGACTAGTCGTCTCGGCGTCAGTATACTGTGTCTGAGTGGGGTATTCATGTTAAACTGCAGCATGGTATCTCAGGGTGCTGGCACTATAAATCGGCATCAGGCCGGACTACACACACACGTACATGCACGTCGCTATATTAGTGCAATAATCTCGAACGCGACATTAAACCCAATTTCAACTCACCTCACCTCTGGGGTAAATTCGACTGCTTTAAGTAGTTGTTTACGTGCACATTTTAAATATATATGATTATACAAAACCTGTTGTCTTCACGTATTATCAGCTGATCTATCTATAACTATTGTGTGCTCACTATTACTGTACTATACCTCTGCGTTCTGCTGCAAGTTCCTGGAATATATACCTTTTATCTCATGTATATTTCTGGAGTATAAATCTGTCATCCCTTCTACTATGAAGTATATACATGTATCTCTGCGTTCTGCTGCAAGTTCCTGGAATATATACCTTTTATCTCTTGTATATTTCTGGAGTATAAATCTGTCATCCCTTCTACTATGAAGTATATATATCTGTTATCTGTTCTATATTATGGAGTATATATCTGCCATCTGTTGTATATCATGGAGGATATATCTGTCATGTGTTGTATATTATGGAGTATATATCTGTCATGTGTTGTATATTATGGAGTATATATCTGCCATCTGTTGTATATTATGGAGTATATATCTGTTATCTGTTCTATATTATATACCTGTCATCTGTTGTATATTATGGAGTATATATCTGCCATCTGTTGTATATTATGGAGTATATATCTGTTATCTGTTCTATATTATGGAGTATATATCTGCCATCTGTTGTATGTTATCTGTTCTATATTATGGAGTATATATATCTGTCATATGTTGTATATGATGGAGTATATATATCTGTCATGTGTTGTAGATTCCTCGACCTGTCAGACGCAAGTGGGTCCAATTTTAAGTACTCCTGGAATCCCTGCCAAGACTTCACTGAGGGTACTGGCTCTTGTGACAAGGTCGCGGTGAGTCCCACACAAGGTCAAACAGAACATGTGAAGCCCAAGGCGCCGCAAGTCGCTGTTTTGAGATGTGTCCGGGATTCGAACTAACGAGCATAGATTTCTGGCACAGAAACGTATGATAGTGGGTTCCAATCTCGGTTCGCCGGCGCCATACCCACTGCAGGCTTCAGTATCACGCCCATATGACCGGGATACACTTGAAACACTCCACACTCATTTACTCTCTGTCCTGTCATCTATCATGTAGTTCACCTTACCCATTGTATTATAGGGATGCCAGTCAGACAGCAGCACCGCCACCTACTACAACCTCGGCGACCAGGCCTCAGCTCAGTTTGTGAACGACGCCACTTCTCTTAGCCTCCATTACTCAGCCACAACCGACATCACCAGGTACGCCGACCATTCGTGACCAACTCGTGTTATTCCGGGACAAGCCGAATAGCGACTCTTGCCCCTCTCATGGCCATTTTTGCGACCGGGTTCCGTCTTAGCGCAGACGGGCATACCTAAAACAATTGTCAACTCGTTGCGTAATGGTTCACATTTATTTCCCCATATATTATATATATTTCAGATGCAATTTAAAGCACATCGGGACATGCGGAATTATACAGTATGACTGAACACATTTAACTGTGTCTTGGGTATATTTTTAGATGCAAGACATATGTAAAATCAAGAAATATTTCTGAATGATTCTTTGACGAAGAACTTGAAATCATACGCGCATTCTGATTGGTTTGTCGTATATTCGCACATAACATTCATCGATAGGGGGACGAGTCTTCTTGCAGGCTACGGAAAGGGGCGAGTGGAGACGAATGGTACGCCGACGTCAATTTGTATATCTTCATGAACGCGAAAACATATTGCTATCAATTTTATAAATACATTCGTCAACAATAATAACTTAACAGACAGCTTATATAATCATCAACACACAAAAACTGAACACAACAGTACTAACTAGGTGACATCATCATGCCACACAGGCCACACCCATTCTATTATCAGATAAACTGGAAACTTGGCATAGTATTTTGTTTTGTTTGTTTGTTTAATTTGTTTGTTGTTTTACTACGCACTAGGCAATATTCCAATGATATGACGGCAGTCTGTAAAATAATCGAGTCTGGACCAGACAAGCCAGTGATTGACATCATGAGCATCGATCGACGCAATTGGGATACGATGACATGCATCAACCAAGTCAGCGAGCCTGACCACCCGATCCCGTTAATTTCCTCTTACGACAAGTATAATCGCCTTTTGAATAATATTGTGTCGGTTCGTGGACACATAAGCGCAATAAATTGCTTTATTAACCAATCAAATGCCTCGGAATCAAATGCAATTTATTTATAGAACGATGATCGTGACGTTGACGTGTGACGAAACCCAAGAGGACGCGCTTAGCATCACAGGGGAGGACCCCAATAACCCAGGGACATACGTCAGTATCTGTTGCTTATGTCCCCTCCCCAGCACCCCTCACACACCGTCCTCCTCACAAACATAACCCCTCCCCAGCACCCCTCACTCCAGACACACCCTCCTTCACACAGACATAACCCCTCCCCAGCACCCCTCACTCCCCACACACCTTCCTTCACACAGACATAACCCCTCCCCAGCACCCCTCACTCCCCACACACCCTCCTCCTCACAAACATAACCCCTCCCCAGCACCCCTCACTCTCCACACACCCTCCTCCTCTCAAACATAACCCCTCCCCAGCACCCCTCACTCCCCACACACCCTCCTTCACACAAACATAACCCCTCCCCAGCACCCCTCACTCCCCACACACCCTCCTTCACACAAACATAGCCGCACTCACTCACTCACTCACTCACACTCACTCACTCACTCACTCATAACAGTTGGTGACGTTATCTAGCACGTATGCTTGTCACAAAGCAACGTTACACAAACGCAAGTGTGTTAGTTAGTGTAACGCTGCTCTGGCGTTATAATTGATGACGTTGACCAGTAAGTATGCCTGCCCCAAAGCTACACTAATTCACTCATTCCAGTTGATTTCGTTGCCCAGCAAGTACGCTTGGATCAAAGCAGGTCTAGGACCTCACCTGAATGTGTGAGTGTAACGCTCCTTTGGGGCAAGTATTAAAGTTGATGACGTTGGCCAACAAAAATGCTTGTCCTAAAGCAAAGTTACACTAACTTGCTCACGCATTACAGTTGATGACGTTGACCAGCAAGTACGCTTGTCCCAAAGCAGGCCCAGGACCAACAAAGGGGCCCCCGGGGCCTGACGGGGGGATATCCATCGGCAGCATCCTTATCATCATGTAAGTTGCACTGAATGACGTCTGTATATTCCTTCTGTGCCATGTTGTTGGCCCTCCTGGTTGCCCCATTACCGCCATTTGTGCTGCTTTTAGGTATCCTTCATTTCCACCAGCTATGTACTCGTCATAGCAAGCTAACTGTCACATTTCTCTTACAATCTACATATCCTCCTTGACACATGTTTGTAATCACCTAGGTAACCTCCTTGCCACATGTTTGTAATCATCTATGTGCCCTCATTGCCACATGTTTGTAATCATCTAAGTACCCTCATTGCCACATGTTTGTAATCATCTAAGTACCCTCATTGCCACATGTATGCAATCATCTAAGTACCCTCATTGCCACATGTTTGTAATCATCTAAGTACCCTCATTGCCACATGTTTGTAATCATCTAAGTACCCTCATTGCCACATGTTTGTAATCATCTAAGTACCCTCATTGCCACATGTTTGTAATCATCTAAGTACCCTCATTGCCACATGTTTGTAATCATCTAAGTACCCTCATTGCCACATGTTTGTAATCATCTAAGTACCCTCATTGCCACATGTTTGTAATCATCTAAGTACCCTCATTGCCACATGTTTGTAATCATCTATGTACCCTCATTGCCACATGTTTGTAATAACCTAGGTAACCTCCTTGCCACATGTTTGTAATCATCTATGTACCCTCATTGCCACATGTTTGTAATCATCTATGTACCCTCATTGCCACATGTTTGTAATCATCTATGTACCCTTATTGCCACATGTTTGTAATCACCTAGGTAACCTCCTTGCCACATGTTTGTAATCATCTAAGTACCCTCATTGCCACATGTTTGTAATCATCTAAGTACCCTCATTGCCACATGTTTGTAATCATCTAAGTACCCTCATTGCCACATGTTTGTAATCATCTAAGTACCCTCATTGCCACATGTTTGTAATCATCTAAGTACCCTCATTGCCACATGTTTGTAATCATCTATGTACCCTCATTGCCACATGTTTGTAATAACCTAGGTAACCTCCTTGCCACATGTTTGTAATCATCTATGTACCCTCATTGCCACATGTTTGTAATCATCTATGTACCCTCATTGCCACATGTTTGTAATCATCTATGTACCCTCATTGCCACATGTTTGTAATCACCTAGGTAACCTCCTTGCCACATGTTTGTAATCATCTAAGTACCCTCATTGCCACATGTTTGTAATCATCTAAGTACCCTCATTGCCACATGTTTGTAATCACCTAGGTACCCTCCTTGCCAAATGTGGGTTGATTGTAACACAATTATGCTACTCGTATGTATTCCATACACCTCTAAGAAAACAATAGGCAACATCAAACATAATGTATAACTATCTTCCAGCTTCTTCGCGACTGTCGTCGTGTACATGTCGGGAGGGGTGGCCGTGCAGACGTTTGTCCGACGAGCCTCGGGGAGGGACATGGTCCCCAACTATGGACTATGGACAACACTGTTAGGACTCATTAAAGTAAGCTGTCATATTTCACATCTGTGCGGCCCAGCTGACAGGCTAATTGTTGCTCGCAAGTTTACATCAGACCTGATTAATAATTTTTTTTTTAATTGTTATTGTTTAACGCTGCATCCGGCCATATTCCTGCCATATGGCGGCGGACTGTAAATAATGTAATGAAAGTCCAAGGTAAGTGTCTTCCCCAGGACGCTGACTCAGCAGGTCAGCTGATTGCAGGGTTTCGGATATGGTCATTTAGAATGTGATTGATATAACTTGTCCATTTACATACCGTATAACTCCACACGCGACGTGTGCTCGAAGCGCACAAGTAAATGTAAATTATTAGCAATTACATCCAACGTCGTAGGAGGTATAATGACACAAACTTGACGTCTCATCACGCAGACCGACTTTAATCTAACCCGACGAGGTGGTGGGGTGTGTTGCCTTCCAACGTTCAAAACAGTGAGTGAGTGAGTGAGTGAGTGAGTGAGTGAGTGGGTGGGTGGGTGGTTGTGTGGATGAGTGAGTGAGTGAGTGAGTGAGTGAGTGAGTGGGTGGGTGGGTGGGTGGGTGGGTGGGTGAGTGAGTGAGTGAGTGAGTGAGTGAGTGAGTGAGTGAGTGAGTGAGTGAGTGGGTTGGTGGGTGGGTGGGTTGGTGAGTGAGTGAGTGAGTGAGTGAGTGAGTGAGTGATATCACACCTATAATGTTGAGGGGAGAGGAAAGCCGAAGTGACACAGGTCACACGTATATAGAAATCAGATTTACATAACTACATGTACTAATAAGATAACTGTGCATGTACGTGAATTTTATAACAAGGCAACAGTCCTACCACTGAAGAGACCCGGGTTGTGTCATCCATGTTCTTGGGCAATATCTAAGGCAAACTGGCCCGACTCGATAATACTAATATAAATGTTATTTACTCATATTGATAGGCCTGTTATGATGAGCAAACATATATTGTAACCCTGATCAAGAAAAGAATACGTTTTGTTCAATTTATTCGTTTCTTTCAAGGAAAAGCTTTTAATCACACGTACATTCAATGTATAGATTGGATACTTTATTAAACACACATATCCCCTTTCATAAGCCGATTCAGTATCAGGTCTTGAGGTAAGCAAATATTCAATTTTTAATTCAAAGTCACCGTGGTTGAAGACGCCATTCGCTGCGAACGTTGCCCGATGGCCACACAGGTTTTCATCCAATTACACTATCAATCAGATCCTTCATTGCCAGTTGCTGTTAGCAAATAATTTCAGTTTGGCACAGACACAGGAGTAGTGGTTTACAAGCGCTGTTCGTGACGTTGCCGTGGCGTTGTAATCATATTACCAGATAAAACCTGATGTAACGGAGCTACTGGTCAAAGTGGCGTGTCACGTGCACCCAACACAAACCTCTGACATTCACTCACTCACCCACTCACTATAGACAAGTATACATGGCTACAGACGCTGGAAGGACTAGATCAGCGAGACTGAACACCATCAGGTTTGATGATATTTCTAGAGCATTGGTGTTGTGGGGTCGCCAGAAGGTAGTTAATTAAAACCATTGGTGCGAACAATGAAGGTGGCGGCAGCCACGAATGATAAAGTGGGACACTGTCGTTGTTTGTATAAATCGGATATGAGTTTTGAAATTTGCATTTAAATACAAAAACGATTTTCTCAATAAAGGTCAGTGTTTTTACAGCAATAGAATTAAGTGTGATTTTATTGTTCTTTCGTGGAATCAATTAAGCACGTGAATTGAAATCATTTGACACTTCTGACACCCTGCAGGCCTATTTCCTAGAAGATGGAATTGGCAAAGGACATGATATTGAAATTGAACGAGTCTGTAATCGGCTTTTCAATCACAAGGACCAGCCTTGCTTGCGGATCACTGGCACTGATGATGAAGGTGCTTTGACCATGTTAGAGAATCACTGACGTGTTAATGCATGCCCCCCCTTCAATTCTCAGAAACCATCAACAGTGATCTATATTTGATTAGGGCAACTGAGTCTTTAACACGGTTTTATTCTTGAACTGTAGTTATCAGGCTATGCGTTACATGCGTTACTGACATGGCTGCACAGGGAAAACGTTTGCCTGTTGGGGAAAGAGACGAACGGTAAAGAATGGCTACTTGTTAATCTGTGAATCTCACCACGGTGAGGCGATGTGAGGTGAGGTAGCGATGTGCATGCATGAACGCTTGCGCTCCTTCCCGTGTGTGTCTTTGTGTGTGTGTGTGTGTTTGCGTGCGTGTGTGCGTGCGTGTGTGTGTGGGTGTGTGCGTGCGTGCGTGCGTGCGTGCGTGTGTATGCGCGTGCGTGCGTACGCGCGCGTGTGTGTGTGTGTGTGTGTGTGTGTGTGTGTGCACTTGTACTAGTACTATCCAGTGCCGGATTTATAGTGTTAGCTCTCTGAGATACCATGCCCTGCTCAGACACAGCACACTGACTCCAAGCAGACCATGCTTTGTTTTGTGCCATGAGAGGAAAACGACAAGTACCACATTTTAACGTCTTTTGGTATGACGGAGCCGGGGATCGAACCACGACCTTTCGCTCTCCGGGCAGACACTATCCACAAGACCACAGAATCAGTTACACGTCATCAGGGCTTCATCTTGATTGAATACATCTCACAAAGTCATGTATTCGAGTTAACAATGTACTCTGATTTCACTTCACGTAGTTTCGATCCAAGGCGTCTTTATACGATAATTTGAACTTTTCTTTTAAAGAGGCGAAATATTCTCATATCTAGGACTAGACTCTGTAATAGGTTCCCAAGATTATTGTGTCTTCATACATATCGTGTTGATGTATATATGACCACTCAGTAGATCGATAGGGGGAATACTTAGGGAGCCGAGTAAAGCATTACAAAAGCGCCTGAGGCACCGAGTCCAGCAACTACCGGGCCAAAGAACGCTTACATCCATGTATGATTGTGGGTAAAAATGAAACAACCAAGAAACAGTAATTCGATGGTAATATATTCGGTGCGGGTGTCGTTGTGTTTTGGAATTTAAGTGTTTTCAAGCTAGTTTGTTTGTTTGTTGTTTAACGCCGCACTATCAATATCCCAGCTTTATGACGGCCGTCTGTAAATAATCGAGTCTGGACAAGACAATCCAGTGATTGACATGATGAGCATCGATCGGCGCACGTTTTGATAACGTTTGTAATTTTGGTGTCACATCCAATTTTCAACTGAATACTTTCTTTTCCCCGACAGTTCAATTGGCGTATTATTGATGATGTCCGTCGTACATCCGTTTGATGTTTCTCCTTGCAGGACGGGTTCTTATTCACCTTCTCCTGCGGAAGACGAACAGGCTATGGCAAAGTTTAAAAGGTCAAGGCCACGCTTGCTTCGGGATAACCTCGCATTGATCTAGGAGTGACGTCACGTGTACGTGTGTACGTTGTGAAAGCTGGTGTAAAAAATAGTGTTGCCCCGGACAACCAGCCAACGGATTGTGCTGATGAAGGCAGTCGCCGATATGGCTACATCATTACACGGACCGTGTTCTATTCGGAATTGTTTTGTGAAGAGTCCATTGACGCTTATTGGAACCTGGATGGGATATGCATATACACGCATAGTTATTGTATTCAAAGTGTGAATTATCTTGTGGTTCATCGTGAAATATACTACTCAAAAGAAGTTAAAGACCATTCTATTCTTTTATATTACTATAGTTAATCTGTCATGCCAAATTTGACGCATCAGTGACAAAAATGATGTCCGATGCAATTCCCTATATGACTTGTACCTTATGTTCCCGTGTTTTTCCAGGTGAACAATTGACGTGTCTTTGCATGGGTTTGTGACGGGTGCCACCGTTGGGGCAGGATACGTTCACCTTTTCGCGAACACCTGGTATCATCACTCTTTGATAGTGATTCATAATCACACGACAATAGTCGGAATCGTACAATCGACTCCATTGTACGATTTCCATTGGATATGGAAAGGGTGTTGGCGCTTTATTTACAGAAATATGAAAGAATCGAGTATTTTCTAACTTATTTTCAAGTAGCATATATATATTGAGTACATGGAGTCAATTTAAACAAACACATGTCCACCTTGAATTAAACGCTTTGATTCAGCCATTTCACTATAATAATGAGAGATCGTGTGAGACCTAATATATGGTTGTACTGGACTCCAACACCTTGACCCGTCTTGCAGTCACGTGACATATCACGTGTTCGCACCTCGCAGACAGCGCATGGTGTACTTGATTGCTAAAGGCTTGTGCTCGGCGTTTTTAAAGTAGCAAGATTGTCCTAAGTTCTCCAGAAACTACATTGATTTATGGCACCGTGTTGATACTCTCATCACGGTTTTCTTTTGTGTGGGTTATTATTTGTCACTGTAGTCTGGCTACAAATTAAATTTTCTTATAGTTATGGAGATTAAAATGATGTTGGTATTTCCTCATACCAGATACAGATAAATCACCAGCTGTAATAACAGTATTGGATATAATACATTTGTTTATTTCCGCTCTTTTACGTTGCTTTAAAAAAGAGAAAGAAAGAATGACATAGCGGAACAAACTAATCTTCGACTCTAGCTTAAATAATTAAATTCCAGGTTTTCATTATGTTTCCAATACAATCATAAATTCTCCCCTGACATAAAATTGCAGGCTTCTTGCTTTCGTATTGAAAACTTCAAGCATACTGTGTTTACAGTTTTAAGCAGAGCGACACGTTGGGCACAATATATACGTAGCTTGGAGGAAGTGACGTAATGGATCGACTAATGGTGAACATCATTCCTGTTGCTTCGTCCACGCCTCTTGAGATTTACAGAAGGCATTATATGACTCTTTAGCCATCAGCGTGTACATTCAATTGTTGTAAACCTTGTTTGTTTGTTTGTTGTTTAACGCCGCACTCGGCAATATTCCAGCTACATGACGGCGGTCTGTAAATAATCGTGTCTAGATGCAGTGATTGATATTGTGAACAACGATCCACGTGTTTTGGGTACGATGACACGCAATCAGCCTTGCCCGACCACTCGATCTCTCACGACCAGCATAGGTTGCTAGTGGCCAATTCTAACCTGGAATCTCCACAAGGTTTACATCCACGTAAGCGTTGTTAGTACTTGAGCGTATACTTGAAATAAACATGTCGCCATGGAAACGGCTGACCGGCCTCGGTCGTGTTCTTATTTTAAAGGAATCTGGATTCCACACTATGGCAGCCCCCGTAGATTTGATTGCTCGCCCAAACAGTATGTGATTATCTGCTAACAGTGACACAGTCCTTACTTAACCTGACAACCACGGACAGTGTCTGTTTCACACATGGTAGTGATTACAGGTGACGATGTGAAATGGGGTTTTAACGTGGCGTTTATGCTTTTTGCACATGTGTAAAGCGACGTGCGTGTTTGTTAGCGTTAGTGGGTGTTTGTACGTTTGAGTTCAGTAGTACTAGCCCACTGAGATACCATGCCGCAGTTTAACGTGGTTACCCCTCTCAGACACAGTTTACAGACTCCGAGCCTACTGCTAGTACTACTCCTACTACTGAACCCCAGGCAACAACGGCTGCCATCTTGTGACGTCTTTTGGTATGACCCGACCAGGGAATAGTGCCACCGGTCTTCTCTGGGAGGACACTCCATCCACAGTTATCACAGAATGTATACCTGGATTCCGTCGGGACAGTCATTTCTATACGAAAAAAAAGAGAATTTGTATTTGATTAAATCAGAGTAATAAAGTTTAACAGAATTACCATAATCTATTCCCCATAGAATAACAACGGGAATATCTAAAATTTACACACACGACACGTGTGACATGGTCCAATTCATTCGTCACAACTCGCCTCTTTCCGTAACCTGCAAGAAGACTCGTCCCCCTATCGATGAATGTTATGTGCGAAAATACGACAAACCAATCAGAATGCGCGTATGATTTCACGTTCTTCGTCAAAGAATCCCTCAGAAATAATTTTTGATCTTACATATGTCTTGCATCTAAAAATATACCCAAGACACAGTTAAATGTGTTCAATCATACTGTATAATTCCGCATGTCCCGATGTGCTTTAAATTGCATCTGAAATATATATAATATATGGGGAAATAAATGTGAACCATTACACAACGAGTTGACAATTGTTTTAGGTATGCCCGTTGGCGCTAAGACGGAACCCGGTCACAAAAATGGTCACGAGAGAGGCCATTCGTGACCAACTCGTGTTATTCCGGGACAAGCCGAATAGCGACTAGTGCCCCTCTCATGGCCATTTTTGCGACCGGGTTCCGTCTTAGCGCAGACGGGCATACCTAAAACAATTGTCAACTCGTTGCGTAATGGTTCACATTTATTTATTATATTATATATATTTCAGATGCAATTTAAAGCACATCCAGACATGCGGATGATTGAACACATTTAACTGTGTCTTGGGTATATTTTTAGATGCAAGACATATGTAAAATCAAAAAATATTTCTGAATGATTCTTTGACGAAGAACTTGAAATCATACGCGCATTCTGATTGGTTTGTCGTATTTTCGCACATAACATTCATCGATAGGGGGACGAGTCTTCTTGCAGGTTACGGAAAGGGGCGAGTGGAGACGAATGGAGAGAGGCACGAGTCGCTATTCGGCTTGCCCCGGAATAACACGAGATGGTCACGAATGGGTCCAATTACCACTGTGACGTCATCTTGCAGGTGTTGCCAGGGGTAATAGCAGACACTTGAGATAGTACAAGATAGTAATGTTTCTTACCTGAGTGAATAAACAGTGAGGATATTAGTCAGCCACAGAGAGACGATATGTATGAGTGGCTGTCTTTATTCATACCTACTAGCTACCAAGGCAAACATACTTTCTGATTAAATTGGCGAAAAGATTGTTACTTCGAACTTTTGTGACGCTATTTCGACCAAAGTACATTACTCAGTTTGAGGAGGCATTGATGAAGTTGAGGATGAAGAAGAATAGCGGCCCAGATGCTACGCCACGGATGTGCACGTGGTGTATTGACACTTAATACGATGTATCTAGGGTCCATGGTGGTACGTGTGATTTTGATAAGGGTGAATGATACAGATAAAGGAGTGTGTTGTGTTTGCCTTACTCTATCTAACCGGCACAATAAGAGACATTGCCCTGGATTTTGTCCGATGCGCGTTATCAATTTGACCCATGGCAGGTTTAAGATATTGGAACACGGTCCGTTATTATATATCCTTTTTTCACAATTATCAATCCTTAATATGTCACATATAACGTGATAAAATATTTGTAAAACTTTGTTGATTTTCCGAATGTAAATACACCTTTGAAAAGTCTGTCCGTACGGACTTTGCTAGTACCCGATTTGAAATGATCTTTCTGTATCAGTTGGTACCAGCTTATCAAATAATTATCGGTCGGACGGTAGATCTAGAATTCGCTACAAATCGCTTTTGTATTGACGCGGTTGTGGTGTTAAACATACTGCATGTTCACATCGGCCAATTTTGCCGAAAAACGAGAATACTAATTCTTAAGCGGCAAGCAAGGAAAAACAAGAACAGCACAAATTTCTAATACCACACCTACATGTACGCCCGACTACTTAGACAGGGGCGCAAAAGAAACAATATACCTCTCAGTTATCATATGTTTGACTTTTAATTGAAAATATCTCAAATTAGCGATATTATATTTGTCAATAAAAATAATTCTATATAAAACTCTTCAAGATTACATAAATTCGTTTCGCATAATACCAAACTAATAATGAGTATTTTAGACGAATCTTTGAAAATCAATAAATATTTCTTTTTTTGGCACAAATTTACAACATTTCAAACATCGTCGGGGTCACGTGGTTGCAAATTCTTTCTTACCCCGATCTTCATTGAACCAATTTAGTTTTACACAATATTACCCAGATTACTGTTGAAGGAAAGAGTTATGGTTAAATAGACATAAATGAATTTAAAAACAATTCTTTTAACTTTCAATGACAAAAAATAAACTAAGTATACTTTCCTTTGCCCCTTAGATAAGTATACTCACCCACTGTTAGACATTCCGGGACATCTACCGTGTATCTATCTACATTATGTGCAACCTACCTTCACGGAGAAATATCTTTACAGCTCGGAGGTGAGATACATCACGAGACCCCGACACAGATTAGTCATAAGTGAGTGAGAATGGTTTTACGCCGCTTTTACCACAACTCAAGGAAAACACTACGCCGAGGGACCCCAGAAATGGGGTTCACACATTCTACCCATGTGGGGAATCGAACCCGGGCTGGCGGGACGAGCGAGTGCATTAACCACAAGGCTACCCCACCGCGCCTGATGAGCCACAACAACGGACTGACTACACTAGACATTTTGTATAATTAGGAACAAGTACGAAAATGCGTATCTCCGACGACTTAAACTTAGAAATAAGCAGGCTAAGCCCCCGTTTGTCGATTGGCCGCATCCTTTGCCATGGCATAAAAGAAGCTCAGTCAACAAAAAACCTGAACAGATACAAAAGGTGAGGTGAGGTGAAATGGGGTTAACGTTGCTTTCAAGGTTGTTGCACTTATATGGCGATGTGTGTGTGTGTGTGTGTGTGTGTGTGTGTGTGTGTGTGTGTGTGTGGACTAATGCTGCTTGATAGTGCTTGCCCACTGTTATTCAAACC